AACCATGTAGTAGAAGTCCCCCAAGTCGCCGAGCTAGGGGATCTGCTGAAAGAGGTGACAGACAAGGTAAGCAATCAGTCCCAGATCAGAAGTTTGATTTCGAGTTTCCGGCTGATTGTTATCATTCTCCTTATCTTGTAGGTAGCATGAAGGATAAAAAGAAGAAAAGGAGAAAATGTGATATGAGATACTTTTGCTTTTGAAGAAGTAACTTTCCACAGGCTTATTTTTGAACTGGGCTAGAGGGTTTTCTTGTTTCCGCCAGAGTATAAGGCCGACTGAAGAATTTGAGGGTCAAAACAAGTCCATCAAATCTAGAGTACGTTCGACCCTGCTGATATGGGATACTTTTGCTGTTGACAAAGTAGTGGATGTATCGGCACGTGTTCTGTTGCGCTTATCTCCACATGCTTCCTTGTATCCTTCTCACTTTCCCTATTTGTTCCTCAGGCAGATGTGGTATCTTCTCGGGAAGCATAAGATGTTGAAGATGAGTACTCGAGAGCAATGGGGTTCCAGGTAGTCAGTTCCGGACTGGAAGCTTGATTCCAAGTGCTGACTAATTGCTCTCTTTCTCCTTGTCTTGCAGGTAAGTACAAGGCCAAAGGAAAAGACAGGGAAAAAGCATGATATGGGATACTCTTGCTTTTAACCCTGATGATATGAGATATTCTTGCTCTAGTGTAGCTTGTTTGCAGAGGTATTCTCGGGGGGAAAGAAAGTTGAGTATTTCGAGAGGCTTCGTTGGGAGTGCCCTCTCAGATAAGAGGAAGGGTTGAGCATTTTTGCAGGTATGCCTGTCCGTTGAGGATGAAGGTCGACATATATAGGAGTCTCTCTAACAAGGAGTAATACTATTCTTTTACCCTGCTTGGTCATAGCACGGTAGTGGGAGCTGCCAGCTTCACGTGTTTTAACTCTGTCAGAGCACTTTGAAAAAGTGGTATGTGGTATCTGGAAAGCTGATGTTACGTGTGAAGATTACAGACAAGCTTTATCCAAGGAGATCTGGCTCTCGAAGTTGAGAAAGCGGTGTGAGGATTACAGACAAGCTTTATCTAAGAGGCTCTCGAAGTTGAGAAAGCGGTGCCTCTTCGGTTTTCGAACAAGCAATCCTGTCAGGGATCTGTCTCTCGAGATTCGGAGAACGGTGCCTCTTCGATTTTTGAGAAAGCAATCCTGCTAGGAGTCTGGTTCTCGAGATTCAGAGAGCGATGTCTCGTCGCTTTTTGAGAAAGTAATCATGTTGGGAGTCTGGCTCTCGAGATTCAGAGGACGGTGCCTCTTCGATCTTGAAGCAAGCAATCTTGTGGGGAGTGTTTTCTCGAATGTGAGTAAAGGTTAGGCCTGTTTGCTAGTCTACCTTGCCACGGAGCACAGAGGTTGACCCACAGGGACTTTCCAATTATCCAGCAATGGTCCTGTTCCTTTACCCTTGTGGGTAATAATATGGTAGCTAGACCTTCAAAATTTATGTGTCTAAACTTTGTTAGTGTTGTTTCTTTGCTATTCTTTTACCCTTCTTGGTCATAGCGATGTAATGGGAGCTGCAAGCTTCACGTGTCTAAACTTTGTCAGAGATTTTTGGCAAAGTTATCTGTGGTACCCGTGAGCTGATGTTGCGTGTGGAAAGTGAATGATTGAACAGTAACATTCACATGCTTTCTACTTCATTAGAAATCTTCGACAGAATGCCCGTAATTTCCGTAAAGTTGAGTGTGCATGTGACATGAGCTGACAAGGCTGAAAAAGCAGGTGTCGCTTCGATTTCTGAGATCGGCCCTCGTGGTCTCTAAGCAGCCCAGCTTTTGAGAAAGCAAGCGCCTCTTCGATTTCTGCGATCGACCTTCGTGGTCTTTGAGCAGCCTAGCTTTTGAGAAAGCAAACGCCTCTTCGATTCCTGAGATTGGCCCTCGTGGTCTCTGAGCAGCCCATCTTTTGAGAAAGCAAACGCCTTTTCGATTTCTGAGCAGGCGCCTCTTCGATTTCTGAAGCTCCATCGAGTGCGGATTTTTATAGAGGCTGGTATTAAGTTCCAAAGCACACTTGAATCTCCACCAGTAGAAGCTCCATTCTTGCATTTCTAAGATCTTGATTTGTCCGACCTCTTTTCTCTTCAACACCTTTGAAAATGTCTAGCCTCTCCGACCGTCGTTTTGACTTGAACCTTGTTGAAGAGGCAGCCACGCCTTCTCCAGACAACATATGGCGCCCATCCTTTTTATCCCCTACTGGTCCTCTTACCGTTGGGGATTCCGTGATGAAGAATGATATGACCGCTGCGGTGGTGGCCAAGAACCTTCTCACTCACAAAGATAACAGACTACTTTCCAAACGGTCTGATGAGTTGGCTGTTAAGGATTCTCTGGCTCTCAGTGTTCAGTGTGCAGGTTCTGTGTCTAATATGGCCCAACGCCTATTTGCTCGAACCCGCCAAGTTGAATCATTGGCGGCTGAAGTGATGAGTCTCAAACAGGAGATTAGAGGGCTCAAGCATGAGAATAAACAGTTGCACCGGCTCACTCATGACTATGCTACAAACATGAAGATGAAGCTTGACCAGATGAAGGAATCTGATGGTCAGATTTTACATGATCATCAGAGGTTTGTGGGTTTGTTCCAAAGGCATTTATTGCCTTCGTCTTCTGGGGCTGTACCGCGTAATGAAGCTCCAAATGATTAACCTCCGATGCCTCCTCCTTCTAGGGTGCTGTCCAGTACTGAGGCTCCGAATGATCCCCCTCCGGTGCCTTCTCTTTCTGAGGCTCTGCCGACTGCTGAGACTTCTCCTAAGCAACCTTTGTGAAGGCTCCCTCTTATTTGTTTATTTTGACTCGTGTATATGTACATATTTGTAACTTCATAGAGATATCAATAAATAAGCTTTGTTTCATTTCAACGTATTGTGTTAAATACACCAAAGCCTTCTTCACTAAGTTCTTTGAATTTTTCTTTTGTTGAAGCTTGTATGTTGAAGCTTTGTGAGTGGAGCATGTAGGTTGAGGTAGTGTTCCCTTAATTTCCCGAGTGGGGAAAACTTCTCGATTGGAAACTTGAAAAATCCAAGTCACTGAGTCAGGTCGGCTATATGAATCTTAGAACGCCATTGTGCTCGATCCTGTGTCATGTCCTCCGTTAGATCCAAGTACTCTAAGTCTTTTCTTAGAGTCTCTTCCAAAGTTTTCCTAGGTCTTCCTCTACCCCTTCGGCCCTGAACCTCTATCCCGTAGTCGCATCTTCTAACCGGAGCGTCAGTAGGCTTTCTTTGCACATGTCCAAACCACCGTAACCGATTTTCTCTCAGTTTTCCTTCAATTTCGGCTACTCCTACTTTACCTCGGATATCCTCATTCCTAATCTTATCCTTTCTCGTGTGCCCACACATCCAACGAAGCATCCTCATCTCCGCTACACCCATTTTGTGTATGTGTTGGTGCTTCACCGCCCAACATTCTGTGCCATACAGCATCGCCGGCCTTATTGTCGTCCTATAAAATTTTTCCTTAAGCTTCAGTGGCATACGACGATCACACAACACGCCGGATGCACTCTTCCATTTCATCCATCCAGCTTGTATTCTATGGTTGAGATCTCCATCTAATTCTCCGTTCTTTTGCAAGATAGATCCTAGGTAGCGAAAACGGTCGCTCTTTGGTATTTCCTGATCTCCGATCCTCACCCCTAACTCATTTTGGCCTCCATTTGCACTAAATTTGCACTCCATATATTTTGTCTTTGATCGGCTTAGGAGAGGACATTTAGATTCCAACACTTCTCTCCAAAGGTTAAGCTTCGCATTTACTCATTCCTGAGTTTCATCTATCAACATTATATTGTCTGCGAAAAGCATACACTAAGGAATATCATCTTGAATATGTCCTGTTAACTCACCCATTACCAACGCAAAAGGTAAGGACTTAAGGATGAGCCTTGATGTAATCCTACAGTTATGGGGAAGCTTTCGGTTTGTCCTTCATGAGTTCTTACGGCAGTCTTTGCTCCTTCATGCATATCCTTTATAGCTACTCGTACTCCTTTCTTCTCTAAAATCCTCCAAAGAATGTTTCTTGGGACCCTATCATACGCTTTTTCCAAATCTATAAAGACCATATGTAAATCCTTTTTCCCATCTCTATATCTTTCTATCAATCTTCGTAAGAGATAGATTGCCTCCATGGTTGAGCGCCCTGGCATGAACCCGAATTGGTTGTCCGAAACCCGTGTCTCTTGCCTCAATCTATGCTCAATGACTCTCTCCCAGAGCTTCATTGTATGACTCATTAGCTTAATACCCCTATAGTTCATGCAATTTTCTACGTCGCCCTTATTCTTGTAAATAGGCACCAAGGTGCTATTTCGCCACTCGTTTGGCATCTTCTTCGTTTTCAAAATCCTATTGAAAAGGTCAGTGAGCCATGCTATACCTGTCTCTCCCAAGGCTTTCCACACTTCAATCGGTATCGTCTGGGCCCACTGCTTTTCTATGCTTCATCTTCTTCAAAGCTACAACCACTTCTTCCTTCCTAATTCGACGATAAAATGAGTAGTTTCTACCCTCTTCTGAGTTACTCAACTCCCCTAAAGGAGTACTCTTTTCATGTCCTTCATTGAAAAGATTATGAAAATAACCTCTCCATCTGTCTTTGACCGCGTTCTCTGTAGCAAGAACCTTTCCATCCTCATCCTTGATGCACCTCACTTGGTTTAGGTCCCTTGTCTTCTTTTCCCTTGCTCTAGCTAGTTTATAGATATCCAACTCCCCTTCTTTGGTATCTAGTCGCTTATACATATCGTCATAAGCCGTTAACTTAGCTTCTCTCACAGCTTTATTCACCTCTTGCTTCGCTCTTCTATACTTTTCACCATTTTCATCGGTCCTATCCTTGTATAAGGCTTTACAACATTCCTTCTTAGCCTTCACCTTTGTTTGTACCTCCTCATTCCACCACCAAGATTCATCCACTATATATGAAACAATTGGGGTGAAGTGTGAAGGGGGCCAGTAGCTTAAGTATGGCAGTTTTATGGTAGTAGTTCATTCATAATAATGCATAGCATTGATGGAAGAATGAAAAGAGCGGCCAACAGGGCCATCATCTTTGGCAGCGCCCGTCACTTTGGACTGGTGACTTCGGACCTCGTCGACCATCAGTATTATATGTGTACGTACTTAGTCCAACTTTGTTACCAGTTTCGCATTCGATCACTACATGCCCAACTCAAAATGATGAAGGTTTCTGTTGTGAGATTAGTTTCGATACTCTCACTTTTCAATATATTATTTGTCTGCTGCTTTAGCTCCTCCGTGCAGATGATACCAGGCGGGAACGAAACAGATAAGCTGGCGTTGCTTGCCATCAAAGCTCAACTAAAGGAGGATCCCAATCAGTTCCTGAGTTCATGGAACGAGTCGTCTCACTTCTGCCTATGGCGCGGCGTGACATGCAGTAAACGACATCGTGAGAGGGTCACTGGGTTGGACCTTTCGGGACAAAAATTGGCGGGAACCATATCCCCACGCATAGGAAATCTAAGCTTCCTAATGGAGCTGTATTTCCAGAACAACAGTTTGAGCGGCCAAATCCCACCAGAATTTGGGCGTCTGCGTAGATTTCAGGTATTACGCTTGAGCCTCAACTCACTCAGTGGTTTTATTCCTGTCAATATCCAATTGTCTCAACCTTTGGGGTCTCGATTTTGGTTACAATCAGTTAATTGGTAAAATTCCTATAGAGTTTGGCTCCTTCCCAAAACTCGAAAGACTTGTTCTTGAATTTAATACTCTAGTCGGAGAGATCCCTGACTCATTGGGGAACCTTTCTTCTCTTGAAATGCTTGCGTTCTATCAGAATAAGTTGTCGGGTAACATCCCAAATTCCCTTGGTCAGTTGACAAAATTAACATTTTTTGTATTAGGCTCAAATAATTTATCTGGTATCATCCCTCCCTCCATTTATAATCTCTCCAGTATAGTTACTTTCGACGTACAACAAAATCAAATTCGAGGGTCTATTCCATTAGACTTGCCCAAAAAATTTCCAAATCTTGAAGGCTTTTTGATTTCTTGGAATCATTTTACCGGATCCATTCCTGTGTCAATATCCAACTTGACAAATTTAGTGAACTTTGAAGTTCAAGATAACAAACTCACCGGAAAAGTACCAAATTTACAGAAGCTTCTTAACCTTGAAACCTTCAACATTTACAACAATCAACTCGGAACTGGTACAGATGGTGACTTGAGTTTTGTCTCAGACTTGACCAATGCCACAGAGTTAAAGTGGTTGATTGTATACTTCAACAATTTTGGAGGGACGTTGCCCACATCCATATCCAATCTCTCAACCAAGCTTGAAATCCTTGGGGTTCAAGGAAACAAACTATACGGGAACATCCCAGCTGGGATGGGCAATCTAATCAACTTGCAATTATTAAGTTTTGGGAAAAACAACTTCTCAGGTAACATCCCTTCTGACATTGGAAAGCTTACAAGACTTAACCAATTGGATTTTGAATCCAACAGGTTATCAGGGAGCGTTCCAACCTCTCTACAAAATTTAACAATGTTAAGCTTGCTTGAACTGCAAGGAAATCATCTTCAAGGCAATATACCTTTAATCTTCGGGCAATTCAACAGTATATTGCATCTGGATCTTTCTCAAAATAACTTCAACGGCACAATACCTCAAGAAGTTATAGGCCTCAGCTCCTTATCAATTACTTTGAACTTGTCTGGAAACCAGAAACAGGTTCTCTTCCAATGGAGATCGGAAAGTTGAGCAATTTAGGCAAATTAGACTTTTCCAATAACATGTTATCAGGTGAACTTCCTGGTAGTATTGGTTCTTGTGTGAAGTTAGAAGTCCTACACTTGCAAGGTAACTTATTCAATGGGTCGATTCCTTCTTCAATGGTTTCATTGAAAGGGATTCAAGATTTGGACCTTTCTCGTAACAATTTGTCAGGTGAAATTCCAAAGTTTTTAGAGGGATTTGCCTTGAATAATTTCAACCTATCTTTCAATGAGTTTTGGGGAGCAGTACCCATTGAAGGTGCTTTTAAGAATGTGAGTTCGACTTCATTTGCTGGAAACGCCAGGCTATGTGGTGGTATTTCTATTCTCCAACTTCCCAAGTGCAACTCCAAAGTGTCCAGGAATGGCAGATTGTCCACTAGCTTGATATTAATAATCTCTTTAGTATCTGGGTTTGCATTTCTTGGAATAGTGATTGTGATTTCTTTTTTATTCGTTCGTTCATCAAGAAAGAAACACAAAGGAACCGCACCAAGCACTTTGGGAAACTCTTTTTTGCAAGTGTCCTATGGTACTCTGCTCAAAGCTACTGATGGATTCTCTCCAACAAATTTGATTGGCGTGGGTGGTTTTGGATCTGTGTACAAAGGACTTCTAGACGATTATGAAGCTCAGCCTGTTGCTGTCAAGGTGTTTAACATGTTACGCGGAGGAGCCTCTAAGAGTTTCATAGCTGAGTGTGAAGCAATGAGAAATATCCGGCACCGAAATCTCGTCAAGGTTATAACTGCATGTTCAAGTGTTGATTTTCATGGTAATGATTTCAAGGCTTTGGTGTATGAGTTCATGGACGACGGGAGCTTAGAGGAGTGGTTGCACCCAACTACCGGGACACCCAAGAATTTGAGTTTTCTTCAAAGGCTCGAAATCGCCATTGATGTTGCCTGTGCATTAGATTATCTTCATAATCACTGTGAGACACCAGTTGTTCATTGTGATCTCAAGCCCAGCAATGTACTTTTGGGGAAAGAATTGACTGCACATGTTTCTGACTTCGGACTCGTAAGATTTCTCTCAAACCCATCCAGTAATTTTCCGGAGAATCAAACAAGTTCCGTTGGAATAAGAGGATCTGTTGGTTATGCTGCTCCAAGTAAACATGTCCACATGTTTCTTTGGTTTTCCTTCTTTTTACTTGGCTTGGTAAACAAATTCAAATAATTACGAGTTTATATATGTTGCTCACTTTGATGTTTGAATTGTAGAGTGTTGATGTCAAAATCAGTGAAGACTTTGGTACAACAGAAAGTGTCAGGTTTTGTGACCTTCGCTTGGTTGCTTCGGTCACTAGTGAGGATAAGTACGTAAATGAATAGAGACAGAGAAGCAAACACAGGATGTACGTGGTTCACCCAGATTGGCTACGTCCACGGAGTAGAGGAGTTCTTATTAGTAGTGAAGGGCTTACACAAGTACAAAGGATCAAGCTCTCAATTTAGTGAGTTCTTGTGAATGATTTAACACAAATGACATTAGGCAATATTGTGGGGGAATGACCCCTATTTATAGAAAAACTTGTAGCTTTGTCACATTGACATGTGTCATGTTATGATTGGTTCTTGATGTCGACACGTGCTGCGCTCTGATTGGCTTCTAATCTTGACACGTGTCGAGTAGTGATTGGCCTCCTGGTCGGAGGGGAACTCTTCTGGGTCCTTGACAGTATAGCGTTGGCCGGTGCTCGGTAGTTTCGGGATTGGTCAAGTATGGTACAAACAGTGCTCCCCTAAGTTCCCGAGTGAGGGAAACTCCTCGGTTGGGGACTTGCAAGATCCAATCCCTTGAGTAATCACGAAACTTCTAAGTACCGAAGTGTGGTCTGATCTTCATCTGCCTTTCTCTGGAAGTACCTTTCCTCCATCCGGGAATGGTGTATTTAGCTGATGTTGACGCACAAGGTAATGTATCAATTTCACTTGAAGCTTAGTTGTAGTTTCGGGCTTAGTCAAGTGTGATACAAACCCTATAGTAGGAGTCCCCCAAGTCGCCGAGCTAGGAGATCTGCCGAAAGAGGTGACAGACAAAGTAAGCAGTCAAACTTCCAAGTAAGCAACCCAGGATCAGAGATTTGACTTCGGTTTCCGGTTGATTGTTCTTCTTCTTCTTGTCTCTCATTCAACTGTCAGGATAAGGAGAAGCAAATGGATAAGAGATGATATGAGATACTTTTGCTTTTGAAGAAGTAACTTTCCACAGGCTTATTCTTGAACTGTGCTGGAGGGTTTTCTGGTGCCCTTCAGAGTATAAGGCCGACTCAAAAATTTGAGGGTCAAAACAAGTCCATCAAATCTAGAGTACGTTCGACCTTGATGATATGGGATACTTTTGCTGTTGACGGAATAATGAATGTGGTATGGAAAGGGGTCGTGCTGTAGTGATCTGTTTCCGCCCACCGTTGGACCTTCTGCTTCAATCTTTTGCATGGCAGAAGTGGTGTGCAACCTTTGCATTCAAATGGTCCTTCAGAACATTCCTTCATAGTGACTCATCCCCGCTTGGCAGCTTCAGTGTAAAGAGCTAATATCTGATCAACTGTCATGAGGTATTTGCCGGTGGAATTCGTGACCTTGACAGCAGTTGAGGATGAGTACTCGAGAGCAATGCTAAGTAAGCAACCAGGCAAAGGCTCCAGGCAGTCAGTTCCAAATTGGAGGTTTGATTTCAGGTTCCGACTGACTGCTCTCTTTCTCCTTGTCCTGCAGGTGTGGACAAGGACAAAGATAAAGACAGGGAGAAAGCATGATATGGGATACTCTTGCTTTCGACCCTGATGATATGAGATACTCTTGTTCTTGGTGTGGCTTATTTGCTGAGGTATTATCGGGGGGAAATAAAGCTGAGTATTTCGAGAGGTTATGTTGAGGGTGCCTTTTCGAATGCGAGAAAGGGTTGAGCATTTTTGCAGGTTTGCCTGTCCGTTGAGGAGGGAGGTCAATGTATATAGGGATTTCCCAATAACAAGTAGTAATGCTATTCCTTTACCCTTCTTGGTCACAGCAATGTAGTGGGAGCTGCCAGCTTCACGTGTTTTAATTTTGTCAGAGCACTTTGAAAAAGTGGTATGTGGTATCTGGAAAGCTGATATTACGTGTGAAGATTACAGACAAGCTTTATCTAAGGAAATCTGGCTCTCGAAGTTCTGAGAGTTGTGCCTCTTCGGTTTTCGAACAAGCAATCCCGTCGAGGATCTGACTCTCGAGATTCGGAAAGCGGTGCTACTCCGGTTTTTGAGAAAGTAATTATGTTGGGAGTCTTTTCTCGAATGTGAGTAAAGGGTTGAGCATTTTTGCAGGTTTGCCTGTCCGTTGAGGAGGGAGGTCAATGTATATAGGGATTTCCCAATAACAAGTAGTAATGCTATTCCTTTACCCTTCTTGGTCACAGCAATGTAGTGGGAGTTGCCAGCTTCACGTGTTTTAATTTTGTCAGAGCACTTTGAAAAAATGGTATGTGGTATCTGGAAAGCTGATATTACGTGTGAAGATTACAGACAAGCTTTATCTAAGGAAATCTGGCTCTCGAAGTTCTGAGAGTTGTGCCTCTTCGGTTTTCGAACAAGCAATCCCGTCGAGGATCTGACTCTCGAGATTCGGAAAGCGGTGCTACTCCGGTTTTTGAGAAAGTAATTATGTTGGGAGTCTTTTCTCGAATGTGAGTAAAGGTTGGACGTTCTTGCCAACCTGTCTTGCCGCAAAAACACGGAGGTCGACACACATAGGGACTTTCCAGTTGTCAAGCAGTGGTGCTGTTCCTTTACCCTTATGGGTAATAGTAGGGTAGCTGGAACTTCGAAATTCTCGTGCCTAAACTTTGTCAGAGATCTTTGACAAAGTTATATGTGGTACCCGAGGAGTTGATGGTGCATATGGAGAGCGGTGATTGAACAGTAAGATTCACGTGCTTTTTTACTTCACCAGAAATCTTCGACAGATTGCCCGTAATTTTCGCAAAGCTGATTGTGCATGTGACAGGTGCTGACGAGGCTGAAAAAGCAGGTGCTTCTTCGATTTCTGAGATCGGCCCTCGTGGTCTCTGAGCAGCCCAGCTTTTGAGAAAGCAAACGCCTCTTCGATTTCTGAGATCGGCCCTCGTGGTCTCTGAGCAGCCCAACTTTTGAGAAAGCAAACGCCTCTTCGATTTCTGAGATCGGCCCTCGTGGTCTCTGAGCAGCCCAGCTTTTGAGAAAGCAAACGCCTCTTCGATTTCTGAAGCTCCGTCGAGTGCAGATTTTTATAGAGGCTGGCATTAAGTTCCACAGCACACTTGAATCTCTACCAGTAGAAGCTCATTTCTTGCACTTCTAAGATCTTGATTTGTCTGACCTCTTCCTTCTTCAACACATTTGAAAATGTCTGGACCCTCCGACCGTCGTTTTGACCTGAACCTTGGAGAAGAGACAGCCACGCCTTCTCCAGACAACATATGGCGCCCATCCTTCATATCCCCTACTGGTCCTCTTACCGTTGGGGATTCTGTGATGAAGAATGATATGACCGCTGCAGTGGTGGCCAGGAACCTTCTCACTCCCAAAGATAACAGACTACTTTCCAAACGGTCTGATGAGTTGGCTGTTAAGGACTCTCTGGCTCTTAGTGTTCAGTGTGCAGGTTCTGTGTCTAATATGGCCCAACGCCTATTTGCTAGAACCCGCCAAGTTGAATCATTGGCTGCTGAAGTGATGAGTCTCAAACAGGAGATTAGAGGGCTCAAGCATGAGAATAAGCAGTTGCACCGGCTCGCCCATGACTATGCTACAAACATGAAGAGGAAGCTTGACCAGATGAAGGAATCTGATGGTAAGGTTTTACTTGATCATCAGCGGTTTGTGGGTTTGTTCCAAAGGCATTTATTGCCTTCGTCCTCTGGGGCTGTACCTGGTAATGAAGCTTCAAATGATGAACCTCCAATGCCTCCTCCTTCTGGGGTTTTGTCAAGTACTGAGGCTCCGGATAACCACCCTCCGGTGCTTTCTCTTTCTGGGGCTCTACCGACTGCTGAGACTTCCCCTAAGCAACCTTTGTGAAGGCTCCCTTTTGTTTGTTTATTTTGACTCATGTATATGTACATATTTGTGGCTTATCGAAAATATTAATAAATAAGCTTTGCTTCATTTCAACATATTGTGTTAAATACACCAAAGCCTTTCTTCATAAAGTTCTTTGAATTTTTGCTTTTGTTGAAACCTGTATTGTTGAAGCTTTGTGAGTGAAGCATGTAGTTTGAGGTAGTGTTCCCTTAATTTCCCGAGTGAGGAAAACTTCTCGGTTGGAGACTTGAAAAATCCAAGTCACTGAGTGGTTGTGAGACTGCCGAGTATTAAGGTGCAGTAGCATATGGTGGGAGTCCCCCAAGTCTTCAGGCGAAGAGAGTTGCCGAATGAGGTGTCTCGCTTGTTACTAATTTGTCAAAGTAACGAATCCTTGTTTCGATGTCACACATTCGCATATGCCTTATCTAAAAATATTTCCAACTTTTGTGTGTTTGATGCTGCATGCTATTGACTAGACAAGATCAAGTGCAATTAGTAGCTTTTCTCTCTTTTTCATCTTTTCTTTGGTGGAATTGCTTTTCGTTTCCACTAATCAGCCTGAGTGGATGCAAGATAACACCATTCTCTATAGCTCAGATCGCAAAGTCTTCTTCATGAAAGTTGTTCCTTATCTTGTGAACTACAACATCTCCAAATTTGAGATCCATCGGAGTAGTACAACTCCAGAAATGCAGGTATGATGAGTAACTGTTCATCAATTTTCTGTTAACCCGTCAGACTTGTTGTGAGCTTCTAAACTCCATTTTTTCTTGTTCATCTCAACATACTTTCTTCATCGAAGTTGTTCCTTACCTTGTCAGCTACAACATATCCAAATTTGAGATCCATCGGAGCAGTACAAATCCAGAAATTCAGGTATGATGAGTGACTGTTCATCATTTTTCTGTCAACCTGTCAGACTTGTTGTGAGCTTCGAAACTCCATTTTCTCTTGCTCAGATCAACATACTTTCTTCATCGAAGTTGTTCCTTAACTTGTGAACTACAACATATCCAAAATTGAGATCCCTCGGAGCTGTATAACTCAAGAAATGCAGGTATGATGAATGACTGGTTATGATTTTTCTGTCAACCCGTCAGATTTGTTGTGAGCTTTGAAACTCTATTTTCTCTTGCTCAGATCAGCATGCTTTCTTCATTGAAGTTGTTCCTCAGCTTGTGAACTACAACATATCCAAATTTGAGATCCCTCGGAGCTGTATAACTCAAGAAATTCAGGTATGATGAATGACTGGTTATTGATTTTTTCTGTCAACCCGTCAGATTTGTTGTGAGCTTTGAAACTCTACTTTCTCTTGCTCAGATCAGCATGCTTTCTTCATTGAAGTTGTTCCTCAGCTTGTGAACTACAACATATCCAAATTTGAGATCCCTCGGAGCTGTATAACTCAAGAAATTCAGGTATGATGAATGACTGGTTATTATTTTTTTTCTGTCAACCCGTCAGATTTGTTGTGAGCTTCGAAACTCCATTTTCTATTGTTCAGATCAGCATGCTTTCTTCATTGAAGTTGTTCCTCATCGTCTCTTTCATAACATATCAAAAATTCAGAATGAACTAATGGTTAAATATTTCCAGATCTTCGAAACATCACAGCAGCTTCGAAATCTGCAAGAATCCGACTGTCATGTTTGGAGCTTCAACACTTTAATTTCCGTCGCTCAAACAGAAATGGTTCCTTCTTGAAAGTTGTTCATATGCTCAAAAACTATAGGGTGTCCAAAATTCAGCTCCATTGGAGAAGAGAAGAGGTTGCAGAAATTTGATAGATGAAAGGAGGCGGAAGAGGGAGAGAGAGAAAAAGTCTCTTGGGTTGGATTTCTATTTTGGGGCAGATTCCAAGTTTTGTAGCACCTTCATTATTGATGAATTGCTTGTACTTTTGTCCATTATGAAACTTGGGACTTTGGCTTGTTGTTGGATCTATTATAATATGTTTAGGAACATATATAAGTGAATAAATAAGAAGGAAAATTTTGGGCCCTTGTGGGTGTAAAACAAAAAATGTTTATGTTTACCCAAGTGTTTTTGTACAAGTTCAAGGGCATCTTGGGTTTTGTGAACAAAATTTGTTTATTTGGAGCAAGGTTTTGTGTTGAAGCTTTGTAAGTGAAGCTTTTTTAGGTGAAGCTTTGTAGGTGAAGCTTTTTTAAGTGAAGCTTTTCGGGTGAAGTTTTTTTGGGTGAAGCTGTGTGGTTGAAGCTTTTTAGGTGAAGCTTTGTGGGTGAAACTTTTTTAGGTGAAGCTGTTTGGGTGAAGCTTTTTTGGAGGTGAAGTTTTTTTGGGTGAAGCTTTTTTAGGTGAAGCTTTTTGGGTGAAACTTTTTTGGATGAAGCTTTTTGGGTGAAGTTTTGGAGGTGAAGCTTTTCGGGTGAAGCTTTTTGGATGAAGCTGTTTAGGTGAAGCTTTTGTGGGTGAAGCTTTTTTAGGTGAAGCTGTTTGGGTGAAGCTTTTTGGAGGTGAAGTTTTTTTTTTGGTGAAGCTTTTTTAGGTGAAGCTTTTTTTGGGTGAAACTTTTTGGATGAAGCTTTTTGGGTGAAGTTTTGGAGGTGAAGCTTTTCGGGTGAAGCTTTTTGGATGAAGCTGTTTAGGTGAAGCTTTGTGGGTGAAGCTTTTTTTAGGTGAAGCTGTTTGGGTGAAGCTTTTTGGAGGTGAAGTTTTTTTTTTGGGTGAAAACTTTTTTAGGTGAAGCTTTTTGGGTGAAACTTTTTGGATGAAGCTTTTTGGGTGAAGTTTTGGAGGTGAAGCTTTTTCGGGTGAAGCTTTTTGGATGAAGCTGTTTAGGTGAAGCTTTGTGGGTGAAGCTTTTTTGGAGGTGAAGTTTTTTTTTTTGGGTGAAGCTTTTTTAGGTGAAGCTTTTTGGGTGAAACTTTTTGGATGAAGCTTTTTGGGTGAAGTTTTGGAGGTGAAGCTTTTCGGGTGAAGCTTTTTGGATGAAGCTGTTTTTTTTTTTTTTTTTTTTTTTTTGGCGCTTGACACGGTCTTCATTTGCTTGTTTTGTAGTGACTGTGGAAGACGGATTGTTTTCTGATTGAGAAGGGTTCCGACATCGCTTTGCACCATCTTCCTGTGGGTAATATAGGAACTTCCTTATGTTTTGATCATGCATGTAGTGATAGAATTTGTTTCTTCTTATTGTAGATGTCAGAGCCTGGAAGTTCTAGTGATGAGGGCTCTTCTAGCTTTAGCTCTAAGTCTGAGTCTGCAATGTCGGAGTCTTCAGGGTCTTTGTTAGAGTCCTGTACTAGAGAAACATTGGATGATCTTCCCAACCGTCGAACTTTAGCTATTGCTAGTTCTTCCTCCATGGCGTTGGGTGAGGGGGTGTCTCCTGATATGTCTTTGCCTCGGCGGATGCATGGTTATAAGCCTGCGCCATCACCTCAGAGTAAGTCTTCCAAGTATTGGCATTGATCATGTATTTAAAGAAACAATCACGTAGGCCTGCCGTGAAGGCTTTGAGGGCAGTCTTGTCGTCTGCATCGGCACACCGGGAGTATTCATGGCTGAAGCGGCCAGCATACATACGTAATGACTCGTCTGGCTTCTGGCGGATAGTGTACAGGTCATCTGCAGAGTGCAAGCGATCGGTTTGGAAAATGTGTTGGGAAACAAATAGTTTCCTCAATTCCTCAAATGAGTCTACCGTCTCAGGTGTAAGACGACAATACCAATTTAGAGCTCCACCAGAGAGGGTGGAGGGGAAGAGAAGACATCGCTCTCTTCGTCGGTGTGCATCCGGTATGCCATGGTGGACTCAAAGAGGTTAAGGTGCTCAATCGGGTCCTCTTTTCCAGTATAAAGTTGCAAGCCAAGCTTCTGCTTTGTCTTTGCTTGAAGGGGGTGTTGAGGATCCTCCTTGTAAGAGGGCCAGGCCTGGGTTGGTTCCAGTCAGGTATTTTCAGCCTGACGTTCAGCCTTCAACTTGTTTACTTCCTCAAGAAGTTGTAGGACAAGGGGGTCCTGAGCGGAGTTATGTGCCACTGGAGCTTTCTTTCGTAAATCTCCATCTCCTCTTGGAATTAGGAAGGTTTGATCAAGGGCATGTGATTTTTCCCTGGACTCGCTGTACTGGCTTCCAGGGTATGTCTGTCGGAACACCTCTGAGTCCCCTGTACCCTCATGTCTCTCTAGGACTTGTTGCACCTTCCCCAAGTTGGTGGCCGGCTCGGGCCGTGGCAGGGGACCGAGTCTCTCAGAAATCCTTGGGTCATTGATCTTTGAGCTTATATGGATGGAATTCTCTCGACGTTGCTTCAGGAAATCCCGACAATCGCGAAAGACGGCTTTCAATCCTTCTGCCCCTTCAGCAAAGAGGTGTCTCCCTCCGCTTCTCATGGTTCGGGTCGAAGCAACTGGGTTAAGAGAAGCCTCATGTTGATTATCAAATCGAGGGGTAATTTGTTCCCTATCAGGGATATCTATGTCGAATGCATGTGACCCTCCATGTTGGAGGGCACCCAGTTGATGGTTAACTTCCACGGGGGCAACAAGCTCGCGTGTCTGAGCTTGCCTAGCTTCGTGAAGTGTCTCGAAGAGCTTCTCATATTGCTCCTGGAGGACCTCATTCCTCATTGCTATCTTGTTGTTCTGAGCTTCCAACTCATCGACTTTAGCTTGAAGAAGAACTCGTTTTCCTTCCTTCTTTCGTTGTTTCGCACTATGTGCAAGGGGGGGTGTCATTCTGTGTGCTGTGGCTTCCTTCGCTTCCCATGCTGGAGAGGGATGCCTGATCAAAAGAAAGTGTACGAATGATAGAAACCAGCTTGACACAGCTGAAGAGAGTAGGAATATAAGTGTCGTTTCCCACAGACGGCGCCAAATATTGATGCACAAAATCAGCGAAGACTTTGGTACAACAGAAAGTGTCAGGTTTTGTGACCTTCGCTTGGTTGCTTCGGTCACTAGTGAGGATAAGTACGTAAATGAATAGAGACAGAGAAGCAAACACAGGATGTACGTGGTTCACCCAGATTGGCTACGTCCACGGAGTAGAGGAGTTCTTATTAGTAGTGAAGGGCTTACACAAGTACAAAGGATCAAGCTCTCAATTTAGTGAGTTCTTGTGAATGATTTAACACAAATGGCATTAGGCAATATTGTGGGGGAATGACCCCTATTTATAGAAAAACTTGTAGCTTTGTCACATTGACATGTGTCATGTTATGATTGGTTCTTGATGTCGACACGTGCTGCGCTCTGATTGGCTTCTAATCTTGACACGTGTCGAGTAGTGATTGGCCTCCTGGTCGGAGGGGAACTCTTCTGGGTCCTTGACAGTATAGCGTTGGCCGGTGCTCGGTAGTTTCGGGATTGGTCAAGTATGGTACAAACATAGAGTATGGTATGGGAAGTGAGGTTGCAACAAAAGGGGACATCTACAGCTTTGGCATTCTTTTGTTAGAGATGTTCACGGCGAAGAGACCCACTGACAATATGTTTAGCGCTAATTTCAACCTGCATAATTTTGTCAAGGTGGCTTTTGTTTGCACTCAAAATATACCCATTTTTACTTATTTGGGCAATTTGGGTAAAATATGGCATTTTGAGGATTAATATGCAAGAAATCTAACTTGGAAAGATATTTAGATGCAAGTAGAGGGGTTGGACACTATAATATTGTTCTTCCAATTTGTTTTGGTGGTGGAGATTTGTCAAGCATTGTTTAATCAAGATACTTGCATCCTTGCAAATGGGTTGGAAGGCAACATACGGGTGTGGATGCAAAGAAAATGTGAAAGAAGCCAACTTGCTTCTTTTAAATGTTAGTTTATTACAAGTGGGAAAACATGTGCTAAAAACATGTGGTGGAGATGCAAATTCCCCTTTTAATATTGTTTCTACATGCAAGTTGGCAAAAGTAATACAAGCTACCCAAGTAAGGAAATGCAAGCTGCCCAAGCTTCTTTCGGGCAAGTACAAAACCTCAGCAGGAGGGTTTCCTCCAGACCTCTATAAAAAGGAGCAGATGCACAAGGATTATAGACACTCAATCAAAACAAAAGCACAAACTCGGCTCAAACCAGATTTGCCAAAAGCCTTCTTTTATCTAGTTTATTAGCTCTGTTGTTCACTTACGGTATCGATCTCATTTGTGGCTTTTATGTATTCATTTCCAGTCATATAAATTACAAGCAATCTGCAATATTAGTCACTTTCCTCTGTCATTTATATTTCCAAGCAACATTATCATTTACATATTGTTCTATCTCTCCATATAAGTAAAGTCTTTATTTTCAAGGCAAACAAAGAACCTTAATTTGAGCAACTCCTACTCAATGGCACAATCTCTTGGTTCAAAGTCAAACTCAGGCGCAACCTCAATCATTCAAAACCCGTCTACTAGCGGCATCTAGTAGTGGCACGCCCGCACCCACCAATCTCGTATGTGCAGTAAATTCCCGACTTACCCGCAAGGCCCCATGACGGATTTAGGGAGCGAACAGCTTTGCCTCAGTGAATTACAGAGGTTGCAGATTCACTGCTTCTTCGCGAAGGTGGAAACTCGGGCGCAAGCACTAGTACTGCCACTCCCAGTCAATGCAGCATGACTACCGAAAAAATCCAAGTGTGTTTGAGTTTAATATTTCAAATTGGAATCGCGTGTTCTTCTGAGTCCCCAAGAGACCGAAAGGATATCGACGAAGTTATATCTGAATTGCGATCCATCAGGGTTGTTCTTCTTGGATAGAAGCTTTTCCCAACAAGTTGAGCCAACTATGTTTTAATTCAATTTCTTCCAACAAGTTGAATATGAATGGTCGCTCATCCAATTTCTAAACATGACAGAAGTTGGATGTGGCTTGGATGTGGCTCAATTATTCGTTATTGCTCGCTACTGTACACAACACGGTGTTGTTTAAATTCAGCAAAGTCATTTTCTCTATTATTTGTTCCTACCAATTCATTATTTGTTATGGATGTGGCTCAATTATTGTTGTAAATTTATGACTAACAAGCGTTGTTCAAACATAAAGATGGAGGGGGAAAGAAAAGAAAAACCATCGAAAGCAAACTAACTATGTCAAAAGAAATTATTGCTTTTGTTTATGAAGCCATTGATAATCTACGATGATTTCTTCAAAGGCCACTGAATCACTGATAGTTAGTGGCTATAGCTCAATGCCCATTGATGAGCCACAGACTCCATCTCAAGGATTTGACAGCGTTTTATTTGTTTGATATCTTTCGGCGTTTTGATTTTGTAATTAGGAGGAAGATAGTTTGATTTCTTTCTGGTTATGGACTAATTTGACAGAACATGCATCTGATGGCCATTTTAGATGTTGTAGAAATAAAATTTTGATTGTGTAATTTGTAGGCATATGATTTGATCAATTAATACAAATTTGACAATGCATCTCTTTCATCCCACAATCCCTACATACCTAAAATTCATGATGGGAGTTTTGGCTGACAAGATTGATTTTGAAATTCGGTACACTCACTTTTTATTGTAAACGTGATTCTTCCCACTGCCTGTTACGATCAAGGTTTTTAACATGTTTCCCCGTGGAGCCTAGCTGAATGTGAGGCAATGAGAAATATCAGGCAAATCTTGTCAAGGTTGTAACTGCTTGTACTTGTTCAACTGTTGATTTTTGTTACTGATTTTAAAGCTTTACTGTACGAGTTCACGGATGTTGTTTGTTCAAAGGCTAAACATCAACATTGACGTTGCTTGTTCACAGGATTTCTTCATAATATCCGTGATACGCAGATTGTTCATTGTGATCTCAAGCCAAGCAATGTGTTTCCGGCTTTGGACTGGCAAGAATTCTGCCAAACTTAGCTGATAATGTTTCTGGAAATCAAACAAGTTCCATTGGAATAAGAGGAACCGTTGGTTATGCTGCTCCAGGTGTGTTTGGATTCGATATTTAGAATGGGGATTTTGTGTTCTGCTGAATCCCCAAGAGACCGAAAGTATATTAGTGATGTTGTAACCGAATTGCAATCCACCGTGAAGTTTTGTTGAAGCAGTCAATGAAGGTATATGCAAAGTCTCACCAAATAATGTAATATAAGATTAACCTGTTAACAACAGCATTTATTTCCTTTATTTTTTGCATCTTTTGATTTGTTGTGCAGCACCAATGTTACTTGCATAAGATCGTAATCTGATTGCAATCATCTGTTACTCTTGGTTCTGTTTCTTTTGATAAATTTAGCTGTTGCCACTGGCCAAGATGATGAAACCCATTTTTTAAGTCCTTTTTTCTGTTACTTTTGATCGTATTTTAGTGTCTCTGAGGATTGAAATTGGAATCTCTTGTACTGTTGAATCCCAAGAAGACTGAAAAGAAAAGGCGATTTTGTCAAATTATTTGGCATCGTCTGTTAAATTGAGGATTTTTATCATTTTGAATCTTACTTAACTGATTTTTTATAGAAACATCAAAATAATTAATGATAGACAAACGCATGAATCACTTTTATTGATTTCAAATATATTTTTTGTCAAATTATAATTCCGCCAGAAAACAAGTCGATGAATCTGAATTCACCTTGTGTTAGTTTGGCCCACATTTCAATTTCATGAAAACAACATTGTGAACGGCTGCCAAAAACTGCATTTTCCATGTCGGCCTTAAACTTTGTGAATTATTGGAGTTATAGTATGTTGCAATTAAAAGTTTTTGTATTATGTAAATATCACCTGGGGACAAATGGGTGTTATTGTTGCCGATCATTTCACCGAATTTTTTTAATTGTGACGGAAACACAAGTGGTACACCATGTGTTTTAATAGAAGTGGTGAGAAATTTTATTTTTTAAGTTATTAACTTTTTAGCACATATATCCCACTATTTGTATAGTAACACGTGGTATATCATCATGTGTACCGATCGCACTGAAAAATCTCACCATTTCACCCTGACAAAATAAAACTGTGCTCTTTCTGGCAAATAAGACAACCAATGGTTGGGGACCTTGACCTACCAGACATCGTCAAATTTGATAAAATGATTGGCTGTCTCTCACTATTTCCTAAAAATAAACAAGCCAAATCACAAATAAGTCCATAAGACGGATTCGGATCTTCTAGGGATCAACGTACATGGACCGTTGATAAAAAAATCATGCGGCCTCTATTAAATGTTTTTTATATTTTTAAAAGTAAAGTAGTCTTGCTTTGCATGAAAAATATAAAAAAAGAAAAAATTATAGCCACACGATTTTTTATCAACGGTCCGTGTTCGTTGATCCCTAAGATCCTTAGGGAGGGGATCCAGCGAAGATCCAATTCCGTTTTTTTGGTATTTCTTTCTCCTCCACTCTTTAGCTTCTAGTTATCTTCATTGGAAATTCTATTATATATCAATATTGTCTAGACCGCTAAATCAGCATAAGGTTTTGCGTGGCAAACTAAATCAACGTAAGGTTTCGTGTGGCAGACAACACTCTCAGTTTATACATAGGAATTGAAAAATTAACTGCTCATTTTAGTACAATAAAAACTTTTAGGCATTTTGTATACAATAAAAAAAAAGATTTCTAAGCTGACGTTATTTAATAAGATAAGACTTGGTTGTTGTTGTCGTTGTTTGATTTAGAAATATAGTCACTCAATTAACAGGATTCAAATCACGCTCAAGCGGTTAAAATTACTGACAGATATTAGCGTGTGAGTGGTTACCTTATAAGTGAATTGGATTGGTCCAGCTCAATAGGGTTTGTTAATTAGTAAGTTTGTTATAGCAGTGCTCTGTAACTCTGATTTCTCTGTAACTTCGAGACATTCAATATTCTCAACATACAGAGATTTAATCCTTCTTTTCTTCTTCATTTCTCAAATTTATTTATACAAATACAAGACCAATTTCTTACTTGTAGAGACCCATGGGTATATTCACAAAGAAGAACCACACGTACAATTCGAATTTAGCAACTTATAACACAGTTTCTTATCACCCAATATGCTAATTATCTTAAGTAGGGTAGGCTAGACTGGCTAGTTGATTAATTTAATCATGAACTGAGGCGTATATGTTGATCAAAGCCAAAGCATTGCTAGTCAATTGTGCAATCTTGACAATCCTGCCCCCCACAATAGTCTTCAACTTCCCGTTCATCCCATTTTCCTCAAACCCATCAGAGCAGGTGGTCTCATCCGTCAAAGCCGCACTGGCCCATGTTTGTACATCACTTATCATAAGCTGAAAATCAGAGCTTTTAAAGCGTCCCATCTCAGCTATAGACCTCTTAAGCTCATAGACCGAATCACTTAACTCTTCGACACAGTCCCTCATAGCTCCGACTTCTTTAGGCTCCATTCCATGGCTGTGGGAGAGCTTTGACATCATGGTAGAAGTTGATTTGGCAGAGGCAAGCGTCACGTTAAGGGCTGCGCATGCCATAAGTTTAGGGCTTGTTTGGATTGCACCTGCATGGCTTGAAAGAGAAGCAAGGCAAAGCTTTGGGTAGGTTGTTGCACTGCAAGATGTTTTCATGAATTCATTGTTGGTTTTTTGTGCATCGTTTCTGGCTACTGAGGGTGAAGAGAATATGCAGCAAGTAAAAGAAAGTGTTAAGAGAAAAGATGTGACAAAAGATGATGATGCCATCTCCTTTTTGTGTGAAGAGAGATTAGGGAGGGAATGGTGCCAATTTATAGAACTAATTTTAAAAATAAAATAATAGTAATGATAATAATAAAAATGCACGTGATAATTCTAGCCGTCCAAAAAGGAACATGGTAAAAAAAATTTGGGGCCTTGACACTGGAAATACTTATATTTTTCTTTTGAATAATGCTACAAAGACTCTTTTTTTTTTTAAATTAAATGATATATCACAAATTATTTAGTTTTCAAATTTAATTTAAAATTTTGATCTCCCTAACATTTCCCCTTTTCTTTTTGGGGTGTGATATCCACACACCCCATTTTACTTCTCACACACCCTTCTAATTTTCGACCGTCAGATCGGATGAATTGAAGAAGATCAACGGATAGAAATTAACAAGGGTGTGTGAGAAGTAATTTGGGGTGTGTGGATAGCACACCCCTTCTTTTTAAGTTAACAATGGATTTTCATATCTTCACCAAGAACACACGGTTATAAAAACAGGGCATGGTAAAACTACATGGGAAAAAATCCGGTGAAGAAAAAATAGTTAACCCTTGCCAACACAATTACTCAATTATAATAATAGGGAATTGGCACTCCAAAATTTTCATTTTGTATTCTAGACTTTTTATATTTAAAAATAACAAATACACTTGTAAGAAGTGCAAAATAAAATTAAAAAAAAAAACGAATACCAGTTCCCTAATATTATCATCGGATATATACAACTTACGAGCCAAGGTACGTGGTCCGACGATTTCCAATAAGAAAATCCCATTACAATTCTCTCTCTCTCTCTCTCTCTCATTTCAAAAAATCATTCAAAACATCCATTTTAATGGTTTCATCATCCTTTGCAATTGTTCTTCAATGTTACGTAGCACTAAGTAGTACCGAAAAATGAATAGATGAGATAAAAGAATAATCTAATAATTGTAAAAATTTGCTAATGACTAAAACACCCTTAGCATTAATTACTATGTAGCATTGAAATTGCACATCATTCTTTAACCAAACACCAGCTAAAACTTTATTGAATTACTGAAAAATTAAGCTTTTTTATATACAGTTTCACGACCAACTTCTCAATATATACTATTATGCTTGGTTGCTTACAGAACCACACGTACATTTACCTAACAAGAGAGCCACACTTGCAATTCAAGTGTACGTAGCAAATTTAGAACACACAGTTTCTTATTAAACAATATAATATTGCATGCACCTAATTCTTCAAAAATTATCTTAAGCAGAGCAGTTGATATGTTTAACCATGAACTGAGGCGTATCTGTTGACCAAAGCCAAGGAATTGCAAGTCAATTGTGCGATGTTCACAATTATGCCCCTCACGACAGTCTTCAAATTGCCATTCATCAAATTTCCGCCAAACCCATCAGAGCAAGTGGTCTCATCTGTCAAAGCAGCACTAACCCAGGTTTGCACATCACTTATCATGAGCTGAAATTCCGAGCTCCTAAAGTTGCCCATCTCAGCTATGGACCTTTGAATCGCATCAACCGAATCACTGAACTCTTCGATGCAGTCCCTCATGGCTCCGACTTCTCTAGGCTTCATGCCATGGCTTTGGGAGAGTTTCAACATCATGATAGAGGACATTCAACTTTTGGGGCCCAAAAGCTGGAGATACATCTGTTTGCAAGTTGGTTTTTCTGGTTTCTTTGTCATCTTCCTGCTGCAATTTGGTCAATTTGGTCAATTTTGGGTCTAAACTCGAAGGCAATGTGAAACAAAAGAGCCTTACTCGGACTTATCTAAATCATTGTAAATTTGTAATCTATCGATACCAACTTGATTGGCAAGTGAAGACATTCAACTTATTCGTAATTTGCATCTGTCTTTCAGTCGACATGTATTCAAATTATACAATTAAATCTCTCCTTTAATTTAACATACGTAGCACTTCCAAAAGGAATTTAATGCATGAAAGGGTCCATATGGATAATGAAAGTAGCTGAAGATTTTTATGATAGAGTAGAGGTTAGCATCCGGTGACGCATGTTTTATAGTACATCAGTCATAAATTATTTTTTCAAAAAATTAGACGAATTTAAAATCATTAAGATATTCATTTGTAGTTTATACGGTTCTATGTACAAATAAACACTAAGTTTAATCCAATGGTCATATGATTTTAGATTTGAATGATTTTTGGTAAACATAATCGTTGAGGGAAGATCTAAAAAATAGACTGTTCGGATCGTTAATACATTAAGAAATGTGCCTACGAAAATATATGTCAAAAGCTCGTGTTCCCAAATTCTAATTCTATATATAAATATCACAAATGTCGTAACTTAGCTGTGGCTAGCCTTGATTTAATGTTGTAACTTTGTTGTGACTTAGGTGCATTGTAAGTCGCTTTCTATACTGTTTGTAAAAGATTTAAAAACACATCATAGTGCAACCCAATAACAGCTTATAGCTTCTTTGTAATTATATTTAGATTTCGAGTCTTTAAATTTATGTTTTACGTATTTACCGTATTTTATTTAATTCAACCATAATTATAATAATCCAATGATTTATGTGCATGAATATCGTACCTTTCTCAAAACAAAACAAACAAAATACTTAATTATAGGTGATGTGTCATGTGATAAATCGTTGTTTTATTATAGTAGTGGAGATTCAATGAAATGCTAATAAATGAGCATAGTCTAAATATAACCGACTCGGAATCCATTATATGTATATATATTTTTGTGTGAAGGGGATCCATTATATTTAAACTCACCAGTTACAAGTGAATTTTGGTAAACAATATTTAACAAAAAGGTGCAGCATCACCACCAAACAAGAGATCTTTTTCAGCGTGTTGGGCATATAGCCCAATACACCAAGTGTAATAATGCAATTAGTTAAAAATTTGAACAAAAAAAATTACAACTAATTATATTACGGCACTTGGTGTACATGCCGTGTTTTCTGGTACGTTGAAAAACTTCTCCCAAAACATATCGTTGAGTAGACTCTTGTACCCATAATAGCAAACTTAATAAAAGGTGGAAAATGATCCTCTCCAAATCCCTTTCCACCAAATCCATCTACTTTGGGATTCAGACCGTAGGATTTTAATCCAACTGCTATAGTTATTATAACTTTTAAAATGATTCTCGACTCGGATCCTGGACCAGTGGATTTGGTAGAAAGGGATCCGGTTCCCTTTCCATAAAAGGTGATCTTATTCCAAAGCAAATTTAGAATAGGCAAAGTTCTTTAAAAAATTGATCTGCACATTCAACGAGGGAAATAAAGAAAGATACGTACAGGTCATTCATTTGTATTCTTAGTTGTGCCTAAGTTTACTGAAATACAAAAGTGGCTCCAACTTCTGATCCATATGAAAAAACATCCTGATGAGAAGGAGATCATTTCGATCAGGCTTTAACAAAACAAAATATAGAAAATCATAAAAAAGTATAGCATTATAAAAATAAGACTTTAAAATATAAATTCATTTAATTATCTCAGTATAAGACACATGCATTGTGGAAACTTAATTGTATGTTAATACTAATCCACACGAAAATCATGGTGTTGTGAAGTGGGAATATTAATTAATTTTTTTGTCCTCTTTCAAAATGGCCCAAGAAAACACTCACTGGAAATTTTCTCAAGACCATATTTTTCCAAGGCAGAAAAGCTAAAATCGTGAAAAAAGGAGGGTAAACTTGATATTTAAAAAGTTGCAAGGGACCTCTACGTCAAGAAGTTTATGTTTATTTTTTGCTGCATAAACTTCTTGTCTTTGTTTTTGGTACAATTAAGGAAATTGAACCATGAATTTATCCTAATCTTGACGAGAAAACTAATAATTAATGATGATCATTACATTAATGGAAAAAAAAACACAAATCCTTGCTTTCTTCCATAAATCATGTGATTGAGAAGTTAACATTAACAGGTAGACTTGATTGCTTTGAACATTGATCGAGGTGGATGCTTCATAATCCAATTTTAATTGATCAGTTGCTTACGCCGATGAGCGACCGCATCCACAAGCTCCTCCACACCAACCGCCCAGGAACATCGCCCATCGTCCAGCAGCGTTTCGCGCTACTCTAAAGCATTGCATGTGCCATGCGCGCATGTTCTTCTTTTAGGTATCGTTTGGTATGCAGACGGGGCGGAACGAAACGTAATGGGACAGGACGGAACGGAGAGGGGGCAAAGATGTTCTCGGATGAAAACAAAGAGGAAGAAGAATGAGACTGAGAGGTTATAATTTTGTGTTTCACGAATGTGGAACGAGTCGTTCCAGGGGGTGAGACGGAATGTAAATTTACCCAAAATTCGTCCCATGGAACAGCACGTTCCACCAGTTTTAGGCGCACCAAACGTGGGACGGACCGCCTCGTCCCGCTCCGTTCCATCCCTTTCCACGTACTAAACGGTACCTTAGGATTTTGACTTTGCTCTTTATTTACGGTCCTGTATGATTCGTACGTGTCCACATGTGAATCGTGTGATACATCGCATACAGCAACCTTCAACCTCACGCGAGCGGCGGCAAGTGAAGATTAATGAAGAGCCGGCTACCTGCCTCTAGAAGCAGAATCGTCCTTTTAGTAGCAAATGCAAATTATATTCCCTTCAATAAAAATTTAACTCTCCTCAAAAAATATGTCACCCTCAACATTTTCTTTCTTAGCTTATTTGGCACGTTCCTATTCGTTCCATTGGGGTATTGATTGGTCTTGGTTTGACATGATTCATGATGAGTTTGTAATTATGAATTCTTGTGACGTTTTTTCGCATGTGTGACCTCTTGATTATATTCAACATGTTTCTATTATGTACATTTTTTACAATTTCTTAATAAATTCTATATTACCTCAAAAATAAAATTCGTGTAGAACACTAATATAAGGCTTGGCGTATTTGTTACGTGTTAAGCTTTTAAAATGATTAAATGTGTTTTTTTTTTTTTTGTCAAACGATAGATTTTGTTAGATTATATGTTAGATTAGCCACCGACGAGGCTTAAACTCACGTCATCATGTAAGGGCTCAGCACATTTCCACCACTGTAGTAAAGGGCCACTTGCAAATATGCTTTTAAATTACCAAACATGGCTTTGTAGGAGTTTTGAGTAGAAATCTCATTCTATCTCATTGCCCCACATTGGTCACATTTCTCACTTTATAACACTTTGTCCCTCTTACCAAAGTGATTGGAAAGATGGACCATGAAGAGCAAGATTGGGCTAGTTTGGGCTTTGAGTGTGATAATTAATATATAATTTATTAATTTCAGATTTTAATTATATATTTTTTATATCAACAGACTCATCTTTTCAGATGAAGTTTGAAGATGACGAAAGAACACCAAGAGTTACACAACCCTCTGAGCAAATGCCTCCCAGAAATGCATCCCAAATTTATACTTGTTGCAAATAGGCATATATACATTATATATACATCTATTTGCATTGCATTTTACTACACATAAAACCACATCTTTCCCTCTGAAAAACCAAAACCTTCTTACTGAGAGAACCACAATTATACTCGCTAGAAGTCAATTTTCTCTGAGATTTTGACTTAGATCGTTGAATCCTAGTGAAGCAAATGTCTATTGAACTATAAGCACATATTAGAGATGAAATTCTATTTCAAAGACATTGTTGTACGTAAGCCTCGATCATCATTTTTATATGTTTAACATTAATTTTGTTTTGTTCATACTCTCTCAATATACTTAGTTGCAATGATCGTTTATTAGCATATTCAAATATATATATATATATATATATATTATCATTGATTGATTGATTGCTTATTATTATCCAACCGTCTCTAACCATGTGTTTGGGCCCAAATATTATTTTGGGCTGAGCTAAGAGTAATTCTCGGCCCAGTAGTATCCATCTAGAACGTTGTCATAGGCTGTCTAGTAAGGGTCGGTCGAATCCTACTGCGAAGATGATTGGTTTAGATAAAGGTGAGGTAGTTGAAACCTAGTGCAACAATGAGTCTTAAGGCTAAGGACGCTGAGAATTAGGGGATGAATTTGGTTTGTTAAAGAGCTTGGTTCAAAGTCTTTTTGGAGTTAGAATTGGCTGAGACCTAATCAGATTAGGTTGAGGAGTTCTAATCCGAGTATGATTCTAGCTTGGCCATGAATGGGTTTGCTATTATAAATAGAGGAGGAAGTGCATCATTCAAGTCCTCTCCAATTCAACACACAAATTGACCTACGCAAAGCTTCTCAACAACCTTTGATATTTTATCCTCTTCCCTTTTCTTCCGCCAACACATCTTCAGTTTGGATAAACAACACTGTGAAGGCAACCGACGACATCTTCAGTTTAGATAAATAGCACTGGAGCCGTAAAACCAGCCAATCAATGAGTACCTTCAGTTTGGATAAACAACACTGCTTCGAGATCGACTGGTTATTTATCCAAGTCTTGGTCAACAAGGATTTTCATGTTCTTGTTGGTAGATGTCATCTCATCAGCCTTCTCGGTGAAATGAGGTGTTACATGTTACTAGGCTCAACACATTGAACACCGAGTTGTTTTATGATTGGGTATTCACAAGTATTTTTTAGAGTTCGGCATTCTGATGGCCAAACCACATTTACCATCAAGACATACATCTCTTTCGAGTATTTGTGTTCATAGTCTGGTGCCAGTTCGGCGTGCCTATACTCTCACGAATATAAACACTGTGACTGAACCCGGCGCCGACGATTTGTGAACTTCGCAAAACTAGTAGCCTTATCTTCAGGCTCTATAACCCAAAGGCCGAGACGTGTTCCTTCCTTGGCCGCGATCGCAAGATTAAGAAGTCAGCAGCACGCTCAACGCGACATCATCATATTTACTCCCCGGCCGAGCTCGGCCATCGAGTTGGCACACCCCACACATAATTGAAGGACGTAGTTAGCTCATTAATTACTCGATATGCGCGCCACGTAGGCTTGATAGTTTTTAAGGTCAACACCATGAATGAAAAAAAAAAAGATAAAATACAAGTGTTTCTGGATCCAAAAGAACAATGAAAGTGTTTTTGTAAAAGAATGACATCCTATGTTTCTCTTTCATGAAGCTATTACCTTCTTATAAACAAATTGATGTGTTTTCCTCATTGTTATTGTTTATACGTTTTTCACTATATTATTAGCTCTTTTATATTCTACTTTTTTTAATCTGCTGGGTCTAGCGCACGAACTAAAATGTACCCTCAAGCTAGCGAATGAACATGTCCCATCTCATCGATTGCTTGTATTTTATTAAAAAACACATAGGGGCCATAGTTTGGATTTTTAAGATGGCTAGCCTGGACTTCATTTATTTTTATTTTTATTTTCAAGAAGCTTGGAGTTTCAAAGTCACCTGAGGGGTGCCTATAAGTTGGTATTGGCATCCTATCACACACAAACCCATCAATCCAAGACAACAAAAATGGGTGCTCAAATTTTCAAAACCCCAACTTCAAATTCACACCATGCTCTCACATTTCTTCTCCCAGTTCTCTTATTGATCATCACAAACATGCAAACAACTGTGGCAACCTCCTCTTCCTCTCAAACCTACAAAACCTACGTCAAAACTGTAGAATTCACAGTTTCTAAATATCTCTCTTATATTAATTCTTTGTTAAAAGTTACAATGGTATGGCAGTGTATATATAAACAATATACTGCCCTTACAATTACAATTATACCCTTGTCTAATCTATCTATTTACATAAGAAACCTAACAAACTTTTAACAAACATCTAACTAATTTTACTTGATCCTTTACACCCCCTCAAGCTGAACTTGGATGCATCAAAAGGACCAAGAGAAAGCTTGGATTGCAGGTATAGAAATCGGGATTTAGACAGAGATTTGGTATGAATGTCGGCTAACTGATCTTGAGAGCACACATACTGAACTTTGAGAAGATTGGCAAGGACCAGTTCTCGAATATAATGGTAATCAAGTTCTATATGCTTGGTGCGAGCATGGAAAACTGGATTGGAAGCAAGAGATATTGCAGACAGGTTGTCACACCAGAGAGAAGGAACATGAGGAAGGTGAAAACCAAGATCCTTGAACACTTTACAAATCCATGTGATTTCAGCTGCTGTGTGGGCTAACGACCTGTATTCGGCTTCAGTTGAGGAACGAGCAACCGTTGGTTGCTTCTTAGCACTCCAGCTGATAAGATTGGATCCCAGAAATATACAATAACCACTAGTAGAGCGTCGATCAAACGGACAGCCGGCCCAATCAGCATCCGAATAGGCAGTAAGATGAATATCACCTTTCTTGAACCACAAACCATGACTGACAGTGGCTTTCAGAAATCTGAGAATGCGTTTAGCTGCTTGAAGATGTGGTTCACGGGGAGCATGCATAAATTGACAGACCTGATTTACAGCAAAAGATAAATCAGGTCGTGTCCAAGTTAAGTATTGCAAGGCACCTACAATGGATCTGTACTCGTGTGGATCAGGTAACAAGGAACCTGTGTGATCAAGGGGGACTGACCCAAGAGGTGTAAGACAGGGTTTTGCACCAGCCATGTTTGTCTTGTGAAGCAAGTCAAGGATATACTTGCTTTGATGTAGGAAAAGACCAGCAGAGGATCGCTGAACCTCAAGACCCAAAAAATAATGCAAGGGGCCTAAGTCCTTCACAGGAAAAATAGTACTGAGTTTCTGAATGAAACTGTGACAAGCAGTAGGATTTGGACCGGTGACAAGAATGTCATCGACATACACCAAGACAAAAATAGGGACAGGTGTTTGAATCACAAACAGGGAAGCATCAGATTGTGATTGATGGAAACCCAAGGACTTCAGAACTACAAAGAGTTTGTCAAACCAGGCCCGATGAGCTTGCTTCAATCCATACAAGGATTTTCGAAGTTTGTAGACATGATGAGGATAATTGGGATCACTGAAACCGGGGGGTTGCTGCATATAGACATCTTCTTGAAGGTCTCCATGCAGAAAAGCATTACTGATATCCAATTGGTTGAGAAACCAATCATGTTGAACTGCAAGAGATAGAAGAATGCGAATGGTGATTGGTTTGGCAACTGGACTGAACGTTTCCTTGTAATCCAAACCAGCTTGCTAATGAAAGCCTTTGGCCACAAGCCTAGCTTTGTATCGATCTATAGTGCCATCCGGATGTTTCTTAACCCTAAACACCCACTTACAGCCAACAATATTCTGATGAGATTGAAACGGAACGAGAGACCAAGTGCCTGTGGACTGTAGGGCATTGTACTCATCCTGTATAGAAGATCTCCAATGGGCATGTTTGGAGGCCTGAAGATAAGTAGAGGGAATAACATCAACAGTGTCGGGTAAATGATGGTTGGTGGCTGAGTAGGCTTTGGGTTTAGAGATACCAGCTTTAGATCGTGTGAGCATAGGATGGATATTAGTGGGAGGAGGAGAGAGTGGAGATAAGGAGACTGAATAGGGATGCACTGGAGAAGGCAGTGGAGGTACAGGAGAATGTGTGCTGGAGGGATTGATCAAAGGAGCAGGTGATGAACTCAAAGGAGCAGGTGATGAACTTAAAGAAGCAGGGGAAGAAGGAGCAGAGATAGGAAATTGCAGGTTGACATAAGGATTTACTTGAGAAGTATCAGCAAAGGAATGAGGGGGAAGAACAGTGGCAGAGGAAAGAGTATGGAATGGAAAAGTGGTCTCATCAAATAGTACATGCCGAGAGATATAAACACGTTGGGTAAGTGGATCAAGACAACGATACCCCTTGTGCTGAAGACTGTACCCAAGAAATACACAGGATTTACTCTTACTATCCAGCTTGGATGTCGTATAGGGTTTGAGCCAGGTATAACAACCACAGCCAAAAACTCGAAGGCGAGAATAATCTGGAGAAGTGAAGAAGAGGAGTTCCCAAGGAGATTGCAGTAGACCACCAAGTGGAAGGCGATTAATGAGATAGATAGCAGTAGAAAAAGCTTCAACCCAAAACATATGAGGCACTTGAGATTGCACTAAGAGTGTACGAGCTGTTTCAACCAAATGGCGATGTTTCCTTTCAACGCATCCATTTTGCTCAGGAGTATGAGGGCAACTAAATTGTTGTAAAATGCCATGAAGTTTAAGAAAATGCTGAAACTGATGACTTGTAAACTCACCCCCTGAATCAGATCGAACAACCTTGATTTTATTACCAATAGTGTTCTCTACATAGGATTTGAACTCCACAAAGGTTGAAAATACAGAAGACTTAGACTTTAAGGGAAAATATCAACTATACTTGCTGTAATCATCAACAATAAGCAAGTAATATCTATAGCCACTGACAGATACAACAGGAGACGGCCCCCAGACATCACAATGCAACAATTCAAGACTGGTTGAAGATGCAGATGGAGTAGTGCCAAAGGGAAGCTTGTGATTCTTTGCCAAAGCACAGTCTTTGCAAAAGAAGTCTGGAGACGATCTGCCTTGGACAGCAACTTTATTTGTAGACAGAACTTTCCGAAAGATAACAGAAGAGGGGTGACCAAGTCTGCTGTGCCAAATGCGAACATTAGTAGAACTACTTACTAGTGCAGTAGGAGAGGTAGGAGCGTTGGAGGAAGAAGAGCCTTGAAAAGGAAAGAATCCACCTCTAACTGAGCCCCGCAAAAGCGTCATCCCCGTAAAACGATCCTTGACAGAGGATCCATGAATGTCAAGAGTCAATGAACAATCATTATCTTTGATAAACTGATAGGCAGAGAGTAGACTGTGTTTCATATGAGGCACATGAAGAACATTGTGTAATTGAAAAGAAGAAGTAGGAGTATGCAAAGTAGATGTGCCAGTGTGAGCAATAGACAGACCTTTACCATCTCCGATGTACACCTTGTCTTCACCATGGTAGGGAGTTGGAGATTGAATATTGGAGATATCATTTGTAATGTGAGAGGTAGCACCCGAATCTATGAGCCAAGAATTGGAGGACTTCGCAGTGTAATGAGCACACATGGCAGCAAGTTTAGCTGGGGGAAACTTGCCTGAGATTTCTGGATTCATTCTGTCGAAGCAATCAAGAGCTTCATGACTAGTAGAACCACAAATTTGATAGGGAGTTTTATGACCTGAAGGAGAGGCATGACGGTTGAATCTAGAATTATAAGAACCACGAGAGAAACCAGAGTTGGAGTTGCTACGATTAAAACCACGATTGGAGCCTCGATTGGAACCACGGGTGTAGCCTCGATTGGAACCACGATTGTAGTTGCGGTTAGAATTATACCGAAAAGAATTCTGAAGTGGTGATGCTCCAAGAGTCTGAGCAGCAAGAGCTTGTGATGGTGTGGGAAGTAGAGGCGGTTGGCCTTGCACAGAAAAGGCATGAAAAGGCTCAGAGGAAGAGATTTTCTTACGACGCTCCATGGATAACTCCTTAGTGAGCAACATGCCATGTAATTCATCCAAAGAAGTAGACGAAAGGCGAAGTAAGATAGAATCAGTAAACGATTCAAAATCATCAGAGAGACCAGCAAGAGTTGCAGCAATGAGATCACGATCAGTGAGAGATACACCAGCAGCATTGAGAGAATCGGAGATCTCCTTGATTTGTTGAAGATAGTCAGACATGGACTGAGAACCTTTCTGAATATTTTGAAGCTTCGAACGCAATTGATGAATGTGTGCATCCGAGACACCACCAAAACGATGCTCAAGTTTGAGCCAGAGATCACGAGCGGAAGAGACACCGACTGTGAACGGAATGATTTCCTCAGAGAGCGTTGAATTGAACCAGATCAGCAGATTCTGATCTTTCTCATACCATTGCTCAAAAGCAGGATTAAGAGAGCGATCAGGAAGAAAGGGAGATGGACAAGGCTCAGTGCCATCAACAATCCCAAGGAGCTTGTAGCGACGAAGAATCGGAGCAAACAAAGCACGCCATGGCAGATAATTGGATCGCCGGAGCTTGATCGGAACCATGCTGCCAATGTTCTGGATCGTGAGAGAATTATACATCTGAGAGGAATTGAGATTTGGGGAAGAAGAATTAGGGTTTGAAGAATTAGGGTTAGGAGGAGGCACCGACTCAATTGGAGATGAGGATGCAGAGGGAGACGCCATTAAGATTCAAGAAAAAGAAGTCGAGAACCTGAATCGGAGTAGAAGAACAACACAATCAATGTCACCGGAGAAGAAGATCAGAGAGGAGCAGAAGAAAATGGCAGGATCGAAGAAGCCGTGAGGCGATTTGGCGATGGTACCATGTAGAATTCACAGTTTCTAAATATCTCTCTTATATTAATTCTTTGTTAAAAGTTACAATGGTATGGCAGTGTATATATAGACAATATACTGCCCTTACAATTACAATTATACCCTTGTCTAATCTGTCTATTTACATAAGAAACCTAACAAACTTTTAACAAACATCTAACTAATTTTACTTGATCCTTTAAAAACCGCCTGCAATTCAACCACATACCCACTCATTTGCTACAAATCCCTCTCCTCGTACGCTTCCAAAATCAAATCCAACCCTCGAAAGCTTTGTATCTATGCCCTCTCTGTGACCCTAACAGCTTCGAAAAATGCCTCTTCCGTAGTGTCAAAGCAGTCTAAGAAGGCAGGACTAACCCCAACTCAGAAAGGGGCCATCAATGATTGTTTAGAAAATATTAAGGAATCCATCGACGAGGTCAAAGATTCATTGACTTCAATGAAGAATTTGGGGGTCAAGGGTGGGGACGTGCAAGCGCAATTAGATGATAAAGACTTGGGTCAGTGCTGTCCTCACAGACGACGCTACTTGCACTGATGAATTCGATGATGTGAAGGTAAGCACGGCGATTAAGACCGCAATCAAGAACAGCATTGTGCCTGCTGCTAGGTTAGCTAGCAATGCTCTGTCGCTCATCGACAAACTCAGCTAGTAGTGCAGTTAGTTAACGTACCCTTGTAATTCCTCGACTCTTATCTATTTTCTTTTTGGTATTGAACTTTAAATTGCTGGTACGTAGTTCATAGATTTTTACAATTTATGTTTTGGTTGTTTATGTTATTAAAAGTTGTTTGAAATGGTTTTTCTGTAATTTGCTGGAAAAGTAATGTCTTGTTTGTTGTACTATTTTTTTATGTATTTATCAAACTATTGTACTATAATTTGAGGAATTTGATTTTTGAGCAACAAATAAGCTAAGCTGCACGTTGAAGATACGATCTCATGATCCGTAATAATTCTCGATCGATAAAACTTTGACTCCTTAGCTGTCTTATACAATTTTTATCCGGTATATACGAACTTCCGATGTGTGTTCCCAGAAAACAGAAATAGAATGAACAGATTTAATTAATTGGCATTTCAAACAGACATGAGTACATCATATAGGATAACTTCTGTCTTGAACGTTATTTGGTGTTTTTATATGGTATCTGCAATTTTTCCATTCCAATTCCCATGTGAGTTTCACAATGATGAATGAATGAAGATTCCAAGCATGCATGGTTAATGCTTTATTATGATTTAAGGAAAAGATCACACATCTTTTTCATTTTTCATGAACATCCTTATTTATTTCTAACCCTTGAACAAAAAAAGCAAAGAAAAATTAAAAGGCATAAATAAATAGAATTGTACATAAGCAGAACAAGAGGGCAACAAAACTCATTTCCCTATTTCAAATATGGATTTGTCGTGCGTGCGAGTTGTTACAATGAACGGATGGTTATTACCCAATTCTAACTGGCTACAGATCTGCTGTCCCGATTTTGATGTCTCGTTTATGTCTCCCTTCTTATTTGATTGACAGGTGTCCACTACTTAACCCAGTAACTAACACCGTTAACTTTCAATATATTAAAATTAAAAAAAATAAACATTAAAGAAAAGATAAAGAATGCCGGTAGTAAAAGTTCGATCCTTTTCCCCTTCTACTCTCGCTCCAATCGTTGATTCAAGAGCACAGCGACGGTTGACGGAGATGGAGGTGAAGGATTTCGTGAGGGAGAATGAGAGGGAGTGTGATTTAACCGAGGGGCGCTTTAGAGAGAGGAAGAGAAAATTGAATTGGGCGGAGGCTGAGGAGCGGAAGGCGACGGAGGGGTTTGGGGTAGGGATGGGCAATGGTTATGGCGGGCGGGTAACCGCGGTTAATTTACCCATAACCGTTTATGTTCATACCCGCATAACCGTTTACCCGTTGGGTAATTGCCTAAACGGTTATACTCATACCCATAACCGTTTATAAACGGTTAACCATATCCATAACCGCATACCCATTTAACCGTAACCGTTTAATACTCGTTTACCCATTTATCATTTTAAACCCGTTTATCTTTTTTTTTTTATCATTACCCTTTTTTCACCCGTCTACATGTTTTTTAACAACTTGAAAATTAAAAAAAAATTGTCATAATTTTTTTTTTGACAATTAAACACCGTTATAGGTATATTCATCATACATTTCCATATTTTAATTTTTTAAGTCCTTATACCATTTCAATAATTGAAATAATAGTTTACGGACGATATTTTTAACTGTTACCAATGAAGGTAAATATAATATTTGCGAAGTATTATTGGGTTACAAAAATTGTTTAGAAGACATTTCTGTCAAAGCATTTGTTTCAATTTCATGGTTACCCACAAGGAATTTAAATTAATTTGGCCAATTCCTTAATGATGAGAATCATCATTCCTGTAGTAGTGTTATTGAGAAAATGACCGATGAATTCCTTGCTAATTTATTGGGTGCTAAGTATTATTGGATCGAAAACATGATTTGTGTTAGTTTTACATATATAAAATAAATGGGTAAACGGTTGCCGGTTTATAACCGCGGTTAATACCCATAACCGTCCATTTAAATTTCGCGGGTAAACGGTTATATCCATAACCGTTTATTTATCTAAACGGTTACCTATATCTGTAACCATTTAATTTAAATGAGCGGGTAATCGCGATTATCCATAACTAATGGGTATTTGCCCATTCCTAGTTTGGGGACTGATTAGGGAAATGGAGAACGTGGGGTGATGTGGTTTGGAGGGTGGCTGTCGGGAGCATAGATTTAAAAATCGATAATATCGGCGATATTTCGCCGATATTATCGTTTTTTTCATATAACGATATTTCGTGAGTATTTTTTTAATTATCGTTAATATATCGCGATAATATTATCGCGAGATGAACCTAAAAATATTTGAAAATTTCTGAAAAGTCTCAAACATGCACATAAATGGATTCGAACCCCTCACATCTAACTCCTTCAGCGACTTGACCACTATACCACTTACATTTTTGTGAAAACATGCTAAACTATTTATATATATGGTTTTGTTTTGAATTCTTTTTGCAAGAAACAAATTTGCACATATTCCAAATTTTTTGTGGTATTATATTTTAAATTGTGTCAATTAATTACTTAGTCAATGGCATGTGGTTTTTAATTTTTCTATTTTTTATTTGGTCACTTATATGTATGGTTGGAAAAAATTCCCGAAAATCCCAAACCAAACCGAAAAAGTCCCAAACCAAAACCATCCCGAAAAATACCGAAATTTTCGATATGGGATTGGTTTCCAAATCCCATTTGTTTGGTAATCCTGAAATCCCGAAAAATACCGAAGTATTCGGTTTCCTATTGACTTTTGGGTTTCGGTTCTTGAAAGCCATTGCCATGGTTGCTAACTACTCTTCACAATACACTTACTGTACACATAGTGATGATGAAGATAGTGAAAATTTTGAACCTCATAGGAACTCTATGTGGTACTTAGTCACTCATGTATCTTACCATGCAATGTATAAAGTGTAAAATATTGTACTAATTCATTATATATAAATAATTATGGTGTGTTTAAACTTCTTTCATTAATTATTATATATTTTCTACACTCACAATGTTTGCCAGCTCGCTATATAATCAACTTAAATCAGTTAAATCCATCATGCAATGCATTTCCTTCCAATTTTTTGTGATAAACTAATAGATAATTGACTAAATAAACATCCTGCAAAGTTTCAATAAAAATTTCCAAGTTTTTCTTACAATTTCCGTGGTTTCCATGTAATTTTTATCGATATCGATATTATCCCGATATTTCCATCGATATTTCCGTGTTTTCGGACTACCGATATTTCCGATATTACCGATATTTTCTTCATTGGTCGGGAGTTTATGGGGTGGGTATCTGGAGTTTATGGGGGTCGGGTATCGGGAGTGTTTTTCATTTTTTAAAATTTTTTTATTAATTTTATAAAAAGTTAACAGTGTTTTTGTGGAGTTAATTAGAAAGACATTTGTCAAAAAACTAAACAAAAGACACAAAGGAGACATGGAATTCGGGACAGCAGATCCTAAGCCATTCTAACATCCTAATGTACAAATATTGTATGAAAAGTCAAAGATAACAAAGGAACACATGTTTTGTTGAGAGACAAAAGAGGGAACACAGGTTAAGAAGGGTATTATATCTTATTTATTAAATTTTACTTTTCACATGCGACTATGCGAGTATGCATGTGACGATCTAGCTAGAAGGTTTGGGTTGGAGCAAATCTCTTCTGATTTTAAAGTAGTTTATTACGTTTAGCCCGTATAGGAGGAACAATTAAAATACAACCCAAACCCTTATTTTAGTGATGCTTGGTTGCACAAACGAAATTCAACAACATCAGGTGCTCCATTAAGTCTCTTCTGAACTTTGCTGCCCCCACATAACAAAAAATAAGGAAAAATTAGGATACTATCCTTTATTTACAACATCAAACCTTATTGGTTTTCAATTTTTGATCTAGGGCATTTGACTTTCTCCACATCAGCATTTTTGCATTTAAAACATGACATGTCACCATCTTGCTTAAATATTTTTAATTTTTGTTAACCTAAACAACCCATCAAATATATTATTGTATTGACTCATTTATGCATATTAATTTTCGAATTTTGATACCATGAATTGAGATCTATCTCCTCCTACAATTTAGGCAGAATAAATCATGGTTAAGTTAAAATCAGAAAGTCCATTTGAAATCAATGTCTCTCTTTCGTGCAAATTAAAGTCTGTTCTGTTCGCTCCCTAAATCCGCCATGGCACCTTGCGGGCAAGCCGGGGATTTACTTCACATACGAGATTGGTGGGTGCGGGCGTGCCACTACTAGATGCCGCTAGTAGACGGGATTTGAATGATTGAGGTTGCGCCTTTTGACTTCAAATCAAGAGATTGTGTCATTTGAGTGGGAGTTGCTCAAATTAAGGTTCTTTGTTTGCCTTAAAAATAAGGACTTTACTTATATGGAGAGATAGAACAATATGTAAATGACAAGGTTGCTTGGAAATATAAATGACAGAGGAAAGTGACTAAAATTGCAGATTGCTTGTAATTTATATGGCTGGAAATGAGAACATAAAAGCTACAAATGAGATCGATACCGCAAGTGAGCAGCAGAGCTAATAAACTAGATAAAAGAAGGCTTTTGGCAAATCTGGTTTGAGCAGAGTTTGTGCTTTTGTTTGTTTGTTTGAGTATCTATAATCCTTGTGCATCTGCTCCTTTATATAGAAGTCTGGAGGAAACCCTCCTGCTAAGGTTTTGTACTTGCCCGAAAGAGACTTGGGCAGCTTGCATTTCATTGCTTGGGCAACTTGTATCTCACTTGCCAACTTGCATGGAGAAATAATATAAAAAAAGGGAACTTGCATTTTCACCACATGCTTTCATCACATGTTTTCCCACTTGTAATAAACTAACATTAAAAAGAAGCAAGTTGTCTTCTTTCATCACACATTCTTGCCCGAAAGCATGCATAGTGTCTTTCCACCCACTTGCATGAAAAAGCATGCACTTATCTTGATTAAACAATTCTCTTGGCAAACCTCCACCACCCAAACAAATGGGAGAAACAATATTATAGTGCCAAACCCCTCTACTTGAAGCCAAATATCTTTCTAAATTAGCTTTCTTGCATATTAATCCTTCAAATACCATATTTTACCCAAATTGCCCAAATAAGTAAAAATGGGTATATTTTGAGTGCAAACATGTTCTTCCTCCTGTCATCTTTTTCCTCCATGACCACTTGCCTCACCTATGCTTGTAAGCTCCCATCCAAAA